TTTTTTTTTTTAAAGCTATTTAAGAAAAGTAATCTTAAATCAAAGTACATAACATTTTTACTTCAAATTTTATAAAAAGGCCAAATTTAAAAGCAATCCCTCGATTTCTACTTTTTCATGCAGTTAATTTGTTAGCTGATTAAATAAGCCATATATGTATGTATACCTATATTATACGGTCAAGTCAACAATATAGATATGCATATACATTAAAAGTATTTAATATAAATACTTAAGATAATAGTCCCCATTCAACCCAACATCGATGTATAATCTATAGCATGAGTCCTAATATGCCCCTTCTATGCATGCTTCAGTACAGGGTATAACAGCGTTCAGGTTCGTTAAGCTTGCAATGCTTGTTCAGCGTCAGTTCAGCTCAATTCATTTCATTTCATTTCATTTGATTTCCTTTCATGTCATTCCGATTCCATTCCGTTTCGTTTCATGCGGCTTTACCTGCCGCCACAGCCTGCGCATCTTTGATTCCGATGCGCTCAAGTGCATCTTGCAATGCATTTGCCATCGTCTGTGTTTTCTTCACTTGTTTATTGTTATTGTTGTTTTTACAGTTGCTGTTGCTTTTGCTGTTGCTGTTATTATTGCTGTTGCTGTTAGCTTTGCGCACGCGCCAAGTTTCAATTGCCATTTGTAGCTGTTGGTGTTGCTGTTGCTTCGCTCATGTTAATTAGCTTCGCTCAATTGATAAATGGGCAAAGCTTGCGCGGCTTTTGGGCTTTTGTGGCTCGGCTCGTCGTCTTCGATGATTTGTGGGCGCGCGCGAGTCTCCAGTTGGCGCTGGGCCTGCTCTGCACCTCGGCAGCTGGGGGCCTTCAAAGCGCGCTTAGTTATGTGATTACTCATTGCAATTGAAACGGTAGACGGTGTACGATCATCAATTTGAGACCCATTTCGGTATTTATTTTCACTATGTTTACCAATGGCTGTGCGATGGCTTGTTTACAGTTTTACTTAACATTGATGGGATTAAGTAATTTCGGGCTGTAAATTATTGGATACCTGACTGAATCTTGAGGGTTTACTAAGCGCTTTCAAATCGGAATGGGTTTGGCTAGTTTTAAGTGAGTTTAAAGCTTGCGTGTGTCAGAAATAGGAGCAAGATAATTACATATATAGAAAAGTACATGACAGATCAGTTAAGTTTGATTATCATTTTCACTCAATCACAGATTAAATATTATAGGAATTGAGTCAAGATTACTGATCAAAATTATTTGATATCAAGGAATTGTTTGAATGCAAAATGAAGCAGTGCAGAACGAAGCCAAACAATAATAGAGAATTACATGCATACAGCAGGCATTAATTAAATAGTTAATACAACTGTGATAAATATTTTAAAGTTTGCTCTCGATATACATACATGCATATGCTTGCAACAAAATAGTTGTATATGTTAGATTGTGCCATTATTATTTGTAAGTTCTGTATAGATAATATACAGACATACATACATATGTAATCATAAGACATAGATCAAAGTTGAAATTAAACGGAACGGAACATACTAGAATCAGGATTGGAACAGAGCGAGTCGAAATTTTGCCTTATCCATTTTCCCTTTGCATGCAAAGTGCGTTTCCTGCTTTTAGCCATTCCTCTCGATCCCGTTCCTCTTCTTTGCTCGAACTCCACCACACTAGACTATAAATTTGTCATCTGCTCTATTTTGTTATTTTTCCTTAAAATTTTGTCTAAAGCAAACCCTCAAAATTATCAGAGAAGCTTTGTTTTATGAGAGATATGCTCTTCCAAGGCTGACTCGGGAAAGGTTACGATACCATCCTCTGGATGTGTCCTTCAGGCTGCAAGGCGCAGTTGAACTTCTCCATCCCCCCTCCCCTTAGCCCATAAATAGTTGAGTCAACTTCAGCTAGTGCTAATGCTAATGTCTGTAGTGTTTGTCTCTCCCCATTAATCATATCTCTGAATAATTGTTCCAATGAATAGATTGCAAATCAGGAGAACAAAGAGAGAAATTACAAATAAACTACAATTCTTCATAGCAACTTGTTGATTTGCTCTTAAGCAGACATTATAAAAAAAATATATACATATGTATGCAGCTATATACACACGTATATACTCGTATGTGTAGTAAAACACATAGCTATGCATAGGTCCATTGAAAAGTAGTTCAGTCCATTGAGGACTTGCCAAATAACATGTCCAGCAATTTCACTGCAATTGCAGTTGAAGTTGATTTACTGGCCGAAGCCCGTTGGCCAGGCTAACAATTCAATGCGAATTCCGAGCATTGCGAATGCCTTTATGCGCAGAACAATCAAATTATCAGACTTACAAAAAATAAAATAAAAGTAAAATAAAAGAGCAAAAGAGAAATAATACGAAAAACATAGCAACAAAATTTGAAAAAATGTTTAAAAATGAATTGGGTCCAATTTAATCTATGACACCATCGCCCCGAACTGCTTTCAAATAAACTAATTAAATTGAGGTAAAGCAACAAAATAACACAAGAAAAAACAACAACAACAACAACGACAACAACAACGACAGCAGCAGCAGCAGCAAAAATAAGGCGCAGGCAGTCAGCGGCTGAAAAAACCAGCGACTGCAAAGAATTATTTATTGCCAATAGACGAGGCGTCGCTGTCGCAGTCGCAGTCGGCGTCAGCGTCAACGTCAACGTCGCGACGTTGCCTTTCATTCAAAATGCAAACGCGCTAGGCTTGGCCTGGAACGTGGAACATATGGAACGTGAAACGTGGAACGTGCGCGGCTGGCTCTATGACGAATCTGAGCGCGACTGCGCAGCCACTACAAACACCGTTAGGCAGCGGCACCAGCAGCAGCAGCGGCGGCGCGAGCGCGCGCACGCGAACAGTTTTCATGTCTAACGATACCCTATGCTAATCGCATGCCAATCGTGGGGTATACCGGCATCACATGTTGTTGTATAGCCATACGTATATATATTGATATATGGCTATATACTGTATGATTTTATAAAATATTATTAAGTAATTTGAAAGAAGTTTTACACACTATTGGCTATATTATGATATACATATGTACATATATAGTGTGTTATTTTGACGATCTATTGTATAATACGCCAAATATCCACACACTCATATACACATACATACATACACACAGGGCTCTCCATATTTCACGGATCCATCTGACAGCACGGGTCATTTGGGATATATTATATTCGATAATGATTATATCCTGTTTTCTCTGATTTAAAAAAAAAAAAAAAAAAAAATTAAATAAAAATAATTTATGTAGGGCTGTCAGATGGGTACGTCGAATATGGGTATCTCTATATATATATTTAATTTATTACTGGGTATTTGCCAGTCGCTCAGTCGTGTTTCAATCAGCTTTGTTACTATTTTACTGCCTTATATTTTCGAGTCGAGTTTTGTTATATATAAACTTTTATTTATTTATTTTTTTTTTTTTTGGTTTTTGTTTTACTTTTGATTGCCAAACAACAATTTGATTGTTGTTGTTGTTGCTGGTTCTACGTGAAGAAAAATAAGCGCGCTGGACAGGCGCTGACGCTGACGCTGGCGCTGGCGCATTCCGCTGCCTCGAATCCAGCTACGAATCACGTTCCATTTGATTGTTTCAGTTTTTCGGCTTTGCCTTTTTGGCTTTTATAGCATAATTTTTGTTATTGTTGTTACTTTTTCTATTTGGCTGCACTTTGCAGCAATATGCATTTGTTGTTGTTGTTGTTGTTGTTTGTGTTATGCTTTTTGGGCTCGGCAATTGCGCCCACAGTGCGACGGCGACGCCGCTGTCGATGCCCAAGCCGATGCCGGCGCCTGCACTTGGACACACTCCGAATCGAAAAGTAGAGCCCGAAAACAACTTCAAGACTTCAACCTGTCGCTTAAAGTTGGCCAATTAGACACGTTCACAGCGCGTATGAGTCAACAATCAGCGGCAACAACAACAACAACAACAACAAATTGACAACAAAAGTAAAATGTTATTTATGATTTTTGATTTCAATTTGTTGTCCTTGATTTGGGTTTGGCTTTTATTTCGATTTCATTAATGATTTGGGCGGCTCTTGGAGGCCAAGCCAGGCGCATGATGGAGCACTTGTGGGGGCGTGAGTGGCCGATGGAGAGGGGAAACGTTGCTAACAGAACACCTAGAAGTTGCCTAGCTCGCGTTTCAC